CTTTAATCTCTTGATTTCAGCTTCCCCCATGCTAAAACGTAAAACTGATTAACTAAAATAACCACTTGATTGGTAAAACATTTTAATGTAAAACAATTATATATTAATTTTCAAGTATTGGTTTTGTAGGAATTTTGTTTGATTGCATGAAGGATTTCATCATGAGCTAACATCAGTTAGAGAACCACTGGAGAACCTATGAGTACTGGGCAGCTGTTTCGTCCTAGTTTGGGACTCTCCATCAGTACGCACCCATTGCCAGGGTTCGAACCCAGGACCTTCTGGTTACAAGGCTAGCGAGCTAGTAGACCATTGAGCCACTGGGACCCTATCCAATGGTTCTGCCAATTCACGAAATAGCGCGACCATTTTGCAATGTCTTCTTCGATGAGTTACTACCTCATCTTCAACCTGCTGTACCCTACTGGCCACGGCTTCCCACTAGAACCCCTGGTAACTACCAGTCGATAATGAGCACCAGATTAATTTTCAAGTATTGGTTTTGTAGGGATTCTTTTTGTTTGATTGCATGGAGGATTTCATCATGAGCTGACATCAGTTTGAACTCCGGTGGGTGCATGCCGATGAAGAGTCCCAAACTAGGACGAAACAGCTGTTCAATACTCCCTGCAGGTTTTCCAATAGTTTTCTAACTGATGTCAGCTCATGATGAAACCCTCCATGCAATTATATATTAGTGTAGAGCCAACCCGCCGATGATGAGGAACTGCCAATTGAAAAGGAATGCATCTGTCTTCTCTCAATCTGTTTTGTTTTTCTAAATGCGTAAATGGGTATTAGGAAAATATTTTATCTGTTTAGTATGTACAACGACCGGACTGTATCTTTCTTTGCCTGTCAATTGTCAAGGTGACTGCTCCAAACTAAATGGCTTTTTATCAGAAATCATCCAGTGGTCCAGTGGCCCTCTAAATGTCAAACAGTCAATTTCACCGTTAGGCACAAATCTGACCTAAACAAACTGGTCAGCACTCGCGAGGTGTGCAACACAGATGGCACTCAAATACAGAACAAGTCGGTAATTAAATATCTTGGCGTCACTCTACATGCTGATCTTTCCTGGTCGTCTCATATCTTGACGATTTCTTAGAAAATAGTCCGTCTTACCTTCTATATCAAGAAGTTAAGACATTCTGGAATAACCCAACCCTTACTCTTACGATTCGTTAACTCTTGCATTCTGCCTATTATGCTCTATTATTCCCCCTTAGTTTTTCCTGGGCTACTGAAGAAAGACTATGCCTTATTACATAGGATGTTAAAGGTTGTCAGTTGGGTAAGCAACGTACCATTTAACCAGCTTGTTAATATTCTGGACGACAGGCACTTCGACTCATGTGAGAAATGGGCCAAATCCATTCTATCTATCTAACTGATACCACCAACCTCCCCTTGTATCTCATCAGGCAGGCAGACCAGAAGCTTATTTTGGAAACTATATGCTCTCACTAGCAAGTACAAAAACTCAACTATACCCTACTTGGTTGGCTCGTGTTCTGTGCGATAAAGAAAGCATTAGACGTGAAACCTATAACTTATTAAATAGTCAGTAGAACAATTGGATCTCGTCTTTCCAACTCATATCATTTATAGGTACAGCGTTTTCTTTCTTTCCCTTTTCTCTCTCTCTCTTTCTTCTGTTATGTGCTGCTTCATTTCTTTCTTCTGCTTACGCCAGTAAATATGCTAGTAGTATCTACTTTTCTAACACCTTCAAACATTCTGTTCACTTTTGGCTTTGCTACCGAGGTGCTAATATGTTGTTGTCAAAACTGAGACTACATGTGATCTATGTAGAATTTTATTTATTGTTAATGTACTAACTGGATGCAATACTGTAGTGAAATTACTGAGAATTCCATTCTGTATCACAAGTACTGTTTTGGAATGGAGCTTATTATTATTATTATTATTATTATTATATTATTTTTTTATTATTATTAATGGGCTAATATGCCGATTTCAACAAAACAATGTGATGACGTAGTTTGTCTGCATCGTGTAATGTATTTGCGCAAAACATTTTGAACAGTCTGACTCCACATATACACACCCCTGTCATAGGGATTTATATAATACACACAGGGCATCAAATTGATGTTTACAGCAATTTTAAACGTATCTATAACACGTGTGTGCATGTGGTCGTCCTTGACAGACTTTGTTTTGCTACTACTAGGACAGATGTAGTATTATCTGCCTTCTCTGGTTTATTTTATTTATTTTTTGATCACAGCTTGATTCCACACTGTATAGGCGTTTAACTTAATCTATGTCCATTCTCTCACCCTCTCACTGTCTTAACGGTTTATTATTTTCATACAATAGCTAGATTGTCTATTTTCACAAATAATATAGGTTCAAGGGATTCAATTTGCTTTTGAAACCATCAAGAGGGATATGTTCTGAAGCTCTTATCTGCAAACATCGATCAGTCCATGCTATGTATGTATGTATGTATGTATGACAACATGTACATTTAAACTGGTAGATACAGTGGGATGTGATTCAGCGAAGAGACTCACTCCAACAACGAATTTATCATCAAGCTGTACCCTCGTATATATATGGTGTTTTTAAGAATTTATATCCGGTGTGGGAATGCATAATGAATCATAATAATAGTATGAAATGCAATTAAAAAAACTGAAATGTTTGTGATTACAGTCATAGTAAAATGTCAAGTGGGAAAGCAAATTAATGTCATATATAGAAATAATTCATAGGATGCATAGAACTTGAAAAAGGGTGTGCAATTATAGGATTAGTAGACAAATCGAATAAAACAAAAACTTCACGTAATATTGTTTGAAATTTAATAGCACAGAATTTATCGTTGTAAAAAAGAAGAATTGATTTAGATTGACAAGTGGAACAAGTGAAATAATACCGGGGACAGTTCAAAATGAGAATAGTAATAATAGTAACAATTGACGTAATAAAGGAAGGGTGTACAAATTGAATAGACAAAATGATTAGGGATTACAATACTTTATAAATATAGGGATTAAGATCATGAAAGTTGGAGGGGTTGAACGAACTTCTTCTGTACACAGAGATCTGGCTTTTTCTGTTTCGATAGCCAAAGATGGCTTCAGCGATACAGATGAGTCGGCTATGTAGTGATTTGGGTAAATTACTTTTCGCCTTGTAGAGGACATTAATGGTGGAGGTTTTTGGAGATAGAAAAAAGCTCAGCAATTATACTTCACGTATTAACACACAACCACGCAATAGGGTGGTGGGAGAGGGTTAAAATTCTAAAAAGTAATCCAGGTAGGTGGGGAGAGACACAGGTTGATTACGGAATCCTTCCTGGTTCATCGAGTCTACACCCAACACATGCTATAGGAATGACTCAATACAAATACCGGAGATATGGAAGATATTATTACCACCAGTCAGTCAAATCAGAAGAGGAAGGTTAATAATCTCAAAATTCTATTTCAATTCAAGCACATCACAACATTCTGACAAGCTACTTATTCTGACTATAAAAACACTCGTCTGATTGTAATTGATCAATAACAAACATATCATTATTTCTGAATGTTATTATTATTATTGCTCCCTTGGGTTCGTGGCGGAACATAAGGCTTCAACTGCACGTCTCCACTTGCCACTTCTGTCTTTTGCTGCTGTACTTTTCACCTGCATCCATGTATGTTAGTCCATACTGTTTCAGCTCCTCTTCACACGATCTCCTCCATGTCACCCTTGCACTGACGAACAACTCGCCGCCGCTTCCCTTTTGGGTTGAACTCGAGGAATGGCCTGATGTGCGCGCTATGTCACCCAGCGAGCTGCCTCCTCAGTGAATGTCCAATCCATCCATCTCCACTTTCTCCTGCATATTTGTTGGTTGGCGATTGGTTCTTGTTTTGTTTGTTCCCAGCCATAGTTTCTTGTTGGTGATTCTTTCCGGCCCAGTCATCTGATCTTCAGTATAGAGCCAGCGAAGACAGTTTTTGGTTGATAAAGGTGTGCAACAGGCTGTTGGAAATATTCTTTGTGACCCGCCCGTCAAGTTTCTGATCCGTATAGAACAGCTGACTGACTTGACGTTGTTTGTATTGAAAATCCGACCGAATTTTGTTGTTGATGCTGAGTTGAGTGACGAAGATTTCCAGATTGGTTTCAGTTGGTTGATGAATGTGTTTCTCGCCTTCCCGATTCTCGCTCAGTTTGACATCCTCGTCCGTTCCGACTGCCTGTAGTTGAGACAATGCTCACTAGATAAGTTTGTGAATGAAGTAACCTCTTTCAAATCCCTCCCGTTGATGGTGATTGGCGTTGGATGTTGTTGTTGGTTGGTTATTTTCATAACATCCGTCTTATCTATGTTCACTTAGAGTCCTGTCTTCGCTGGCTGTTTCTTCGACCAGTTTGTCAGTTTTCGCTTGTAAGTCTTCGATTGTGTGTGACATCAAACATAAATCATCCACGCGCGAAATCCAGGTCTTCTAGGTTCTTCACATCGGTCCAGGATATCCCTGTCTTCTCGTTTCCCACTCACTGTCTGACGCATAATCCAGTCAGTCCACCACAATTAGGAATATCATTGGTGATAATAAGCACCCTTGTCTGACTCCTGTATGTTTACTCCAAACGCCTCACTGAGTTTTCCATTGTGGATCACTTGACATGTTCCGTTGTCGTACAGCTGTTGAATGTACATTATCCCATATTGATTTTTATTCATATGTCGTCTAATCATCAATTCCACTCATGTATATAAATGGAGGAAAAAGTTGTGTGAGTAACTTGACATGATTATGAGCAGTAATAATTTAGGCTCGAAATATGGTCATCAGTAAATATTACTGGAAGATCAGGTATATCGTGATCTGAATATTTATCGGGGTTTCCGAAGAGCACTTTTAATGAAGTTTCATCTTTCACTGTGTTATTTTCTCAACCACGTAATTTCATTCAGGGCAGATATGTAGATTTAATCTATTTTCTCATCTTTCTTTCAGTTGATAAAGCTATCGCCACATCACATTTTGGTTTATTCTTTAATCAAGGACAGTGTTGTTGTGCAAGTTCACGTATATTCGTTGAAGAATCCGTCTATGATAGATTTGTTGAATATAGCAGCGAAGAGGCGAAAAAACGTGTAGTCGGTAATCCATTCGATCCAAATACACGACAAGTAAGTGAATAATAGTGTTAATAATAATAACAATAATAATAATAAATTCCAACAATAATGGTGATCATTTGTAAACAATTATATTTATAAAATCTCAGCGAGATTGAAATGAATAATTCCAACGTTTCCTGCGTTCGGCAATCTGGTCCGAATTTCTTCAGGGAAATTAATCGAAATTATTAACATAACAGAGGTCGAATAAAGCAGTTCAATCTTCAGAAAGAAGACAAAGTAATAAGTTTGACAGGGTGCTTCAACTAAACTCTAATCCTAAACACCATAATTTTGAAAATGCGTCTAATCATAAAATTCTTGATACTAACAGTTTGAACAGACATGAAGGTGTGATCCTGTTAGCTGATGCATAGGAAATCCTGATTAATAAATAAAAATGGATATTTATCACTAATTAATAATACTTGGTCAAAATTCCTGACTGTCTATGCCTTATCATGGAGACGTTAAGAAATGTTTTACAATTGTTTACTCGCACACACATGCACACTGTGTTTAAAGTGTTTAACAAAGGTAGATCAATATCTGTAAGTACGAGGTCGAATTTCGATCACAGCTCATACAATTTTGTTTATTATACTTGTTGATACTTGTTTTATGACTCATGATTGGACAACGTTTTTGAAAACAAGAGATGTTCCTTTTATATATAAACCTCTGTTATGTTAATTTCGATTAATTTCCCTGAAGAAGTTCGGACCAGATTGCCGTACGCAGGAAACGTTGGAATTACTCATTTCAGTCTCGCTGAGATTTCACAAGTATAATTTTTTACAAATGTCTACTTCTCACTCGGTGCCCAAATATTATAGAACTATTCTGTCAAATCTTGACTACAGTTCATTTGAATTATGATGATCGCCTAAACAAGGCATTCTACTCGAACTCATGTAGCCGTGTAACAGCTTGTCGACAGTTATCCTCTGAAGTGATCACAAAAAACAACGGTGTCCATCAGGAGAATATCCAATCTCTCCATTTTTGTTTAATTTCATCATAGACGTACTAATGGAATTGACCTTAACTGACGACTTTAGTGACTTTAGAGCTGATTTGTTACCAAGGGAAAGTTATATTGACATTGTACTCTTTCGCGAGGATGGTAATTAAAATGCAGAGTATTTTGAATACCTTGAGCAAAAATCTTCGAATTTTCGGCATACGATGTCAAATGTAAGATGAAACTGTAGGACTGGATCCCACCGACTCCTAACTTCAAGATAGGAAGTACTTCATTTATTTGGAAAGTTACATCACCCCCGAATAATCTGATCACGAATACAAAAGGCTTATGTGGCATTTGCCAACTGACGTCATTTCTGGCGTAGACGTGACACCTAGCTGTTGATCAAAGGATAAGTGTACTGCGTATCAGTTCTCTCTGTCCTTCTTTGTAGGTGTGAGACGTGGTCGTTGAAATTGGAAAGCTTGAAAAGGTTAACTGTTTCTGACCACAAATGTTTTGTGTTCTCTCTCCCGGATTAAGTGGTATAATATTATTATTGTTCCCTTGGGTTCCTAGTGGAACATAGGCTTCAACTGCACGTCTCCGCTTGCTTCTGTCTTCTGCTTCTGTACTTTTCACTTGCATCCATGTTATTCAGTCCATACTGTTTCAGCTCCTCTTCACACGATCTCCTCCATGTCATCCTTGCACTGAAGTCCCATTCGCCGCCGCTTCCCTTTCGGGTTCCAATCGAGCAAAGGCCTGACGGGCGATGTCACCCAGCGGCGGCCTCCTCAACGAGTGTCCAATCCACCCAATCCACTTTCTCCTGCATATTTGTTGGTTGGCGATTGGTTCTTGTTTTGTTTATTCCTTCCCATAGTTTCTTGTTGGTGGTTCTTTCCGACCCAGTCATCTGATCTTCAGTATAAAGCGAAGACAGTTGTTGATAAAGGTCTGTATAAAACAGGCTGTTGGAAATATTCTTTGTGACCCACCTGCCCGCCAAGTTTCTGATCCTTATAGAACAGCTGACTGACTTGACGTTGTTTGTATTGAAAATCCGACCGAATTTTGTTGTTGATGCTGAGTTGAGTGACGAAGATTTCCAGATTGGTTTCAGTTGGTTGATGAATGTGTTTCTCGCCTTCCCGATTCTCGCTCAGTTTGACATCCTCGTCCGTTCCGACTGCCTGTAGTTGAGACAATGCTCACTAGATAAGTGAGTGAATGAAGTGACCTCTTTCAAATCCGTCCCGCTGATGGTAATTGGCGCTGGATGTTGCTTCTGTTGTTGTTGTTGGTTGGTTGGTTATTATCATGGAATGTGGCAACTTTAATTTGTCTGCCCTACTGTGCTAAGTTTCTATATTGCGACTCAATCAGTTAGTCAGGCAGTCAGTCTTGTCCTACATGAGATAAGATGAAGCAAACTCCTCACTGGCTTTACCATGCATAACCGCCAGGTTAACATTCTATCAATTAACTCACTCAGTATGGTTGAGTGATTGGTATTCACATAAGTAAAAAGGTATTACCTACATAAGTTATCAGTCAGCTGATATCAGAATGCATATATTATGTATATATTGCCATTGACTTAGAAAAAGATATCCTCGATAATTCAAGTACAAACCGATTTAATAATCGAAAATGGATTAGCAGCAAAGTGTATGATGCAAAAGGTCATCGTTGTTAAACCCGGTAAATTCTACTAAATAGGTTAGTGTATAAGGTTACACAGGAGATGCTACCATGATTAACACTTGTGATTGTATATGTATTCGCATGTTTTTTATTTCTCAGTGTATAAACTTCCTCTGGATTTCGCCGATGCGATATAAGTCTGATTTCCCAAAAACTTGATGATATGCAAGTGAAATTGTGACAAGTTGGCGATAGAAGAAGCTTCCAGAGAAGATAGGCCTTCCTTCAGGTGAACATAGATAAAACAGAGGTAATGAAGATTCCTGGCCAACAGAAACAGCGACAGCAACAACAACAGACAACAGTCAGCATAAATGGCAGAAATCTAAGAGAAGCAACCCCTTTTACCTACATGGGAAGCATCGTTTCAACTACAGGCGGACGGAACTGACGATGATATCAAAGCGAAGATCGGGAAAGTAAGGCAATCTTTCATTTCTTTCAAGTCTTCAGCAGGAAAAATAAGATCCGGATTTTCAACTCCAATGTGAAGTCAATGCTACTATACGGATCAGAGACTTGGTGCGGCGTCGCATCACAAAGGCCACTTCGAACAAACCACAGACCTTCCTACATCAACAGCTGTCTTCGCTCAATACTACTCAAGATCAGATGGCCGGCCAGAAAAGATCAGAAACAGGGAGGGATCTCTGGCAATGAGCGAACCAACTCAGAAGGAACCAGTTATGATACAAATAAGCACGCATAAATGGAGGTGGATTGGCTACACTCTGAGAAAACTATGAAGTAACATCACATACCAGACCATTGCTCGAGTGCAACACGAACGGGGAGCGACAAGTTGGTAGTCAATGCGAGGGTGACATGGAGGAGCAGGTGATATGAAGAGGAGATGAAAGCATGTGAAGAGACGTGGAGTAAAGTGAAAACGTTGGTAGAGAACCGAACGCAACGGAGACGTGCGTCTGAAGCCTTTTGTTTCTCTAGGAACTGAAGGAAACCATAATAATAATAAACTTCCTACTAGAGTTATGTATGCATATTGACTGGCTAATCAGCTTTATATAGTGTGATGTAAAAGGGTTACATTTCAACCCCTGTGGTGGGTGCTTACTTTTGAAGAGTTCCAGTCTAAGATGAAACAGCTGTTCAGTGTTTAGATTTATTGTCCTTAATGCCTATTTCCTTTTTTCGAATACTCTAGATTTTGACTAATAAGTTTCATTCCATCTACTACTGTATTTAAAATACTTGATTAGTGTTAATCTGACTAACCATTCTTGGCATTTTGTATGGAGCATAGGATCTCAGTAAAAAATCTGCATTCCACGCGATCGTCTGTTATACCTTTCAGCTGGCTACACGACCGCTTTCCACAGGCTTTTATCCCCTCCTTACATGATCTGCTCTATGACACTTTCGGATCCCCAACGTGTCATTTCCCGCTGGGGATCTATTCTAGGACCAGCTAGTATGTGGTATCACTCAGCGATCTCCTCAGTGTGTGTGTGTGTGTCTAACTGACCTCTATTTCCTTTTACATATTTGTTGGACGGTAGGTTATTGGTCAGCTTTCTGATGTTCAGTATTCCTTATTGTTTATGGTTGGTCATTTGATCTTCAGTATCGACCGAAGTCTGAGACAGGCTGTTGGAAATACTTGATAATTCACATTATTTCACATCTTATATTCTGGGTGGGACTCTATGTTTCAGAGTTTCATTAGAGGTGATGTGCGATTTCTAGCCTCTCGATTAATCCTCTTTTTTTTCCAGACTTACTCCCCGTTTTCAAAAACCAGGTTGATGTGTAAGAGTGCGTCCACCAGGAATGATTGACTGACTGACTAACCGAATCACTTGACTCAACATATAAGTTTGCACAGAGGTGAAGCAGTTCGGGTTGGTCACACTCCATGTAGCATACAAACGGAAACAAAAGAGAGAGAGAGAAAAAAAAGAGGTTCGTAAGAACGATGCTAAGCAGAAATGTGAGGAAGAGAGAAAGAATAGTATGACATGCAAGAATAATTGAGTTTAATGGATATAAGAGCATATGCGCGCCATTGATAGCGATTTCGAGGCATATAACCGGCACTCTTTAACCATGGGTTCTTAGAATCCCAGGGGACCCCAACCAGGCAGTCTACATCACTATAAGTGCCTGGCTCAAACCAGCTGTTAAAGACTTAATGGAACGATTCCAAGTTTTGATTTGATCACCCCTTAACCTTTTCCAACCCAACCGTATGTCAATTAACATTCCTTGTCGAGGAACGGCAATGGCTAGGAATATGTAACACATCCTAGTCATCTCAATCGATGTAGCTTCACTACTTAACACTCGACGCCTAACCTCAATATAACTCATCTTATTGTGTCATGTAACACGGGGATAGAATGCAGACACCTATGACCAATGACAGGATGGCCCTGTTTCAAAGCCATAAAGAAGGACGGAGCGAACTGCTGATCACACGTCCTTAGTTTGATAGCCAATTGTCACATCTGTGTCGAAGATGATATACGTTGGCAAATGCTACACGAGCCTTTTTTATGCGAGTGGGGAGATTTCGTCAGCATTAATCAGCCCGTTTGGTCTGAGTCGATCAAGAATGGAACCCAGAGCTGCTGAGTGTCTGGTGTAATGGCTGAGATATGCAGCTGAACTGTTTTTACGTCATCTTTTAGGAGAATTCGCCAATTCTATTTCTTCTCTTTCTTCTTTCTTGTTTTTTAAATAGGGTCCACAAGTTGATGAACAACAATTTAAAACAGTTATGTCATATATTGAAAGTGGTAAAAAAGAAGGCGCTAAACTATGCACTGGTGGTCAACGTCATGGTTCCAGTGGTTATTTCATTCTACCTACAGTATTTGCTGATGTTCAAGATGATATGCGTATTGCTCGTGAAGAGGTGAGTGTTATTTTGTCTAACACTATTATTTTTGTAATCATGTACACACAATAGCTGTTATTAATGTTTTTGATGTGGTTGTGTTCTCTGAGCTAGATGGATAGTTAATTTGTGAAGCTTTCATTGCCCCCTGCCACTAGGCAACATCTTGAACGCCTACACAGTTCAATTTGACGAAGTGAGCTTTTACATTTCGCCACGAGTTCACTAGTAGTCATCTCTCCTTGTTGGTGGTAACGTTGAACGTGACTGGTTGTTTCTGAGTGTTTTTTCACACCTTCTAGACTACTGCTACTTGTATTGGAAATGATTGTTTTCTTGACCTAAATTTGTTGACCCTTTGTGTGCGAGATTCCCTTCTTACCGTTGATATAAGAATAAAACTTGTGCACTGTGGTGGAGTGTAATTCCATCATAGATAAATTTTGTTTTAATAAAGTCCCACAGTGTTCTTGTGCAGTAATGTTTACTGATGACCAGGTTTCGAGCACAATTTATTACTACTCATAATCATATAAAGGTACTCTTCACACGACTTACTAACATCATTTATATAGTTCCATTGTTTTTCACTTGATTTTCGCTTGATTTGATTGGCAGTAGTATTTTCCATATTTCAGGTATGAGTGATGAACCAGTCAGGATTCAGTAATCAACCTCTCTATATCTCCACCTACATGGATTACTTTTTACAATTTTAAACCTCTCCCACCATGCTATTGGGTCGTTGTGTGTTAGTGAATGCATTGCAATCGCTGAGCCTTTTTCTAAATTACTTATCTCCTCGGGATCAACCATTCTTACCTTAGCTAAATTCTTGTGTTCTGACAATCTGACTACCCCCGACCTACTAGTTTCACCTACGTAGTTGACTTAACTCACAGTCATTTCAGGGTATTTTGTAAATTACGTTATTTGGTTTAATTGGGTCCACCGGGTCCTTTAGCCTAAAGAGCTTGTCCTAGCTGAGTGAGATTGTAGGTTTAAATGCCACCCTAATTTCTGCTTTATTTACAACCCTACGTAGGGTCTCAGATATCCTCTCTTTATATGGTATAACAGTGGATGACTTATGTTCTCTCTTATTTATGTTATCTTTACTAGTTTCTCCATTTTTTAAAATTTTGTTTTTGGTCTTTACTGATCTTTCTAATGAATTTTATAGGATAATTATTCAACACCAACGCCTCTTCTATCTGTTTTATTTCCTCATTTAGGTCTTTTCTGTGTTACCTAGTGCCATTGCTCGGTTTGTTAAACACTTAACTAAGCCTGCCTTAACAGTCAACAGATGAGACGAATTAAAGTCTAAATATCTATTAGAATGAGTTGGTTTTTTGTACACACTAGTGTGCAGTTTACCTTCTATTTGTTTTATCTTACAATCTAACATCAAAGCTAATTCTCCTTGTTCATTTTCCGCTTCAAATGTGAATTTTATGCCCTCCACTAGTGGTTGGAAAATTTGGTCTATCTCGATGAGTCTATTGATATACACATATCAATAGGCAGGTCACCAGGAGAGATGACTAATAAACTCGTGGAGAAATCTAAAAGCTCACTTCCGCAAATTGAAGTGAAGTGCTCTGAAAATGTTGCCTAGTGTGTTGGGGCAATGAAAGCTTCGCACGTCCAGCACCATCCAGCTAAGAGAATACAACCAAATCAAAATCATCCACTTGAGCTACAAATCTTCTCCGTGTTCTTAATGTGTGTGTGTGTGTATGTTGTTATTCATCTTCATGTGTGTGGAGGTAGTACATTCAAGAAAACTTGTTACGCGTTCTGTTAAGGTTCTATTTTCCTAAAGGTTAATTTGATTACATTTCACTACTCCAAATCTCTTCGGTGTATATTTTTCGTAGAATGATTCTTTCACAGTCGAACGTTGTGTTTATTCTTCACAAAGCTGTATATATGACAAGTCAGTCAGCTACAGTTACTGAGGTTCTTGAAGAGTAGGGTACATCGATGGCTAGAATTGTAGTGACAGAAGACAAACGCCAAGTAACAGATATTTATGGATTTTTGTGTACATTATTATTCATTATTGTTAGCAGAAAAGCAGCGTATTCTAATTGGTTATCTTCTTGCTGAAGATTATTTTGTCATCTAGAAATGATAAAGAAGATTTGTAGCTCAGGTGGATGATTTTGATGTGGTTGTGTTCTCTGAGCTGGATAGTTAATTTGCGAAGCTTTCATCACCCTACTGGGTGACATCTTCAGAGCATACTTTAATTTGATGAAGTGAGCTTTTAGATTTCTCCACGAGTTTATTAATCCTCTCCCTTCAACGACATCAAATTCACAAGAGAATAGGAATCTGAGAACCAAATCTCATTTCTGGACGTCTTAGTCAAGCGACCAACCACAGGGGAATTAGAAACTCAAGTTTATAGAAAATCAACTCACACAGAACAAATCCTGATTTACAACAGCAACAACCCAATAACACACAAAAGGAATTGCATACAAACACTATTCAAGAGGGTTAGCCAGGATTCATTGCAGCACTCCTACCTTAAGGAAAATTGAAGAAAACTATCTCATGGACGTCTTCCAAAAGAATGGATATCCACGGAATTTTATCAAAAGACATATACCCCTAAACCAACCTATCAAACCAAAAGCCCCCAAGGAAAGCACAAGCAAAAATCGCCTTACCATATATAAAAGATATCTCAGAAATCACTACAGGACTCTCCAAACCTTTAGGAATTGACATCGTACACAAACCAACAAAGTCGCTTCACTCAATTCTCTGTCAACCAAAAGACTCAATAGCGAAGGAAGATAAAACCAATATCATCTACAAAATGAATTGTAACAACTGCGAAAAACACTACATTGGCCAAAGTGGACGTCCCCTTCGTCTTCGTATCCACGAACATAAGCTAGCCGTCAAAAGACATGATATCCACTCCCTCATATCACTACATACAGACAACCACAGACATCAATTCGACTGGGACAGCGCTCAAATATTAGACAGAGGAAACAACAAGAATGCTAGAGAATTTTTAGAAGCCCACCTGGTATTCCAGGGAATCATCAGTCAACAGACACATTGTTGCAGTGAAAACCATTAACAGTTCGATATTGGACCATCTGGTGCACATCGGCTGGCTACACAACCAGCGTTGAAGAATCCTTCTCTATCATCATCTACCGGGTGCCAAATAAATTGCCAAAAACACCGAAGCATCGCATGCTCCAAACAGTAGAAGCTATTGCGATTCGCCTCAAACAGCCAGTGCTCTGTGCGCGAAAGAAGCAAGTCCAGCCAGCCACTACTACTGCCCTGACCAGCCTTCAATAGAGACTATAAATTCATGATTTTGTATTATTATCTTTCCTAATTTTTCTGACATTCAGTTTATTGTCATGTTGATGCTGTTGAACTGTAATCTATTGATATTATTGATTTTATGTTATTAAAACAACATTAATGTTTTCCATAACACTAATTCATTCATTCATTCATTCACTATAATGTATGCACATAACTGTAGAGCCTTATGATGAAGTTATTGAAAAGTGTATTCTTTGTTCAGTATGCATTCTTTTGAAAATGTTAATGCGCATTTTTAATCAATTATATATACGTATATGGTTATATATATAGAATACTCTAGAATAGTAGTCAATAACTATATTAGTGTTTTTTAAATAATATCGATTTGTAAAGTAAGATCACAATGGAATTACCACAGTTCATTAAAGATGCTTAAATTATAATAATAATAATGAAGATATAGTAGCAAATACAATATCAACTAAAATTAGAGAAATTCCACAAAAATTCAGGATCATTCAAACCTAGATGGCCAAGCGGGGTGTAAGGATAATGTCTGAACTAACTTCTTTTGGACGCACAAATCAGGCTTGTTAATATGAATCCCAACAGGCAGCCTCAGTAATATTTAGTAGTCGAACTCTTGAGGCGAAGTCGAGATTTGTTGGTATTCGGTAAATGACCCTGAAAGCCTGGTTAACGTCAATCTTGTGTTCTGTATCCACAAGATGAGATGGAATAACGCTACGAATAGATTTTGTTTGTCCTTTGTCTAACCACTTTGCAGGGTGATATTTGGAAATTGGATGAGAAACACGCTTAATTTGTACGGCCTATGCAGCTAACTGGCTCCACAGGAGTAGTCAAATATTGATGATATGACTTAATGTTTGTCTCTTTGTGTGTGAAGACACATTGATATAGACAAAATGTACCAATCGATAAGAAGGAAATCTCACATACAAAGGATCAAATTTCAAGTCAAGAAAATAATCAGTTCCAATACATCTAGCCTAGAGGGTGTGAAGTTACGCAGAAACAACCAGTCACGTTCGAGGTCATTAGGAGGTGATGACTAATGAACTCGTGGAGAAATCTAAAAGCTCACTTCAAATTTGTAGTATGTACTGAAGATGTTGCCTGGTATTGGGAAATGAAAGCTCCGCAAATAAATTATCCAGCTCAGAGGACGCAGCTACAGCAAAACTCTGGTGAGAATTTAATGTGCTTACAACTTGCTGATTCGCCTTGTTTCGAGTTATCGTGAGGAAAAACATAATCGTGGGTCAGGGGGTATTGCAATGGGAGGTCCAGCTGTTTTTTGGTTGTGTCCATGGTTCACGGAATAGGTTCCTGAAACTTTTGTAATTGCCATTTAATCAAATTACCTGCATTCACCGAAGCAGAAGACAAAGGAGAGACTTCAGGATTTCTCGGTATGTGCCTCATGTCAGGAAGAAGTGTTTCACCTGGTCTGTCGTCACACGATACTTTATTTAAAGATCCTGGATAAAGTGAAAATATCATGCAATAAACTATATATAAACACAAGGTTGAAGTTAACCAGGCTTTCAAGGTCATTTACCGAATACCAACAAATCTCGACTTCGCCTCAAGAGTTCGACTACTAAATATTACTGAGGCTGCCTGTTGGGATTCATATTAACAAGCCTGATTTGTGCGTCCAAAAGAAGTTAGTTCAG